CCAAAGCAGAAGCTGGCTCTAAGTGGCACGCTATCTCCTCTGGGCTCCTTGGAACCTCCAACCCTGACGGTGGATAAAAAGACTAAGCCTTCTGGAACAGTGGACAAGCCTCATCCACCTGCTATTAGTACTAACCTCCTCTCCTGTCTCATCTCCCACCAGGTCCCAACTCCAGCACAAACTCCTCACTGTTCTCTAACATGCCTCGGGCTGTCTGTCCTGCCCACCCCTCACCCCGTGGTCCTTGCCCCTGCTGTTCCTTCCCTCTGTGATGCTGTTCCCTCTTGTCTGTCAGGTGAAGTCTGATGTGTCTTCAAAGGCCTGGCTCAAACGCCACTTCCTCTAGAAAGACCCCCACTGTGCCCTGCACTGCACAGGGTTAAATACTCCTGATTCTCCCATAACTTTGCTGAGAGCCTCTCACCCGGCACTTACACATCCTATTACCAAAGTGCCTCTCTTCCCCGTGTCTTTTTCCTCTGTTTATTCTATTCACGCCTATAGGAGAAACACATTTTGGCAAGCGGTGCTGAGAAAACTATTTAGGTTGGGACCAGGAGAGTTCCCTGCCCCTCCTTAGACATTCAAGCTTTCATCAATGTAAAACATTCAGTGGAGTCAATGAGTTCAGCTCCCAAATTTCACCAGCTTGTGCTGCCCCACAGCACAGCTTTGCAGGTGGCTCCAGACAGGAGACAATGGCCTCTCCAAAAACTGGGTTCAATGCGCAAAAACTGATCTGCGATTATCTGTTGGGCAACCATTACGCAATCCATACCATTTCAGGAGCCTTGACCCTGGCTTCAGGAATTTTGCAACTATCCTGAGCACATACCAGGTCTCGGCTTAGTCACTAAGAAAGAGCCTCAAGGAAGCATTTCCCACCCAGGAAAGATGAGCTGGTCAGCTCTCACTTTCCCACAGTCCCGCCAGCTCCCACGGACCCAGCCTTACCACTTAGAAGCTGTGTGATCCTAGCAGATAACTCAGCCCTTCTGAACCTCAGTTAACTCAGCTGAAAAATAGCATTATTGGATACCTTCCTCTTAGGGTTGTTGTGAATATTCAGTGAGCTATGTGTGAAAAACACCTGGAATAGTCACAGATAAGTATTACACACTCCATGAACAGTACCTTTCTCCCTTACCTTCCTTCTTCTCTCTCGGCTTCTATCTCTCTTTCCTTCTCTCCAACCTACCTCCTGGGGTCTGCCTTATGAAGAAGTAAATTTGCTTTAACACATTGAAGAATGAACCAATAAGGGCCCTATTTTATTATTGTATAATAAAACACTGACTGGCCCTCTGAGACCCCCTAGGGAGGCCCGCAGACCAGTGAACCTAGCACAAGCCTCCTGGCTCAGTGCTTACGAATTCCTGGTCAGCCCCTGGGCTGTGCATCTGTCTTCTCAGAACGTGGTAATCACAGAGCAAGTATAAATGCTAAAGAAAGAACTAGGCAGGGCAGGGCTGAACCACATGAGTGATGCTGTGAAGATTTCAGGGAACCCACGAGAGGACCGGGAGGTGGGCGAGGCAGAAGGACAAGCTGTCTCGCCCTTGCTGGCATTTAGGGGCAATTACGCCCTGTTAATGGCTGACATCGGAGCTCTGCCCCGAGAGTGAGCTGAGCCAGGGCGGCCCGCAGATGTGCTCGGCCCACAAATGTGCAGTTGGAAACTCCTGAACTTTCAGTGACTTGATGCCAGCTGATCCGATCGGCAATTACGTTTTATTTTGGGGCCAGGGAGACAGTGTAGAAGCAGGAAAATTATAAGACATCAGAGTGCAGTTTTTCTAAGAATATCCACTACAAACTTTTTTTAACCAATTGTTGTTTTAATGGTTAGACATTTGCAAGGGACTAAACTCAGAAACCCTTGGACACTAAAATCAGATTATAGCCAAGTTTCCCAAGGGAGGTTTTGAGCTTTTGTCCAACAAAGATCTGGGTGTGATTTTATTTTTCTGGAGGGTGGCAGGGGTAATTCCTACCAAGAGAACTTTGCTGGTGACTGTGAGTACAGCATAGAGATAAACACATTTGTAGTTTGTCCTGGGTTTGAATCTTTACTTCTTACTAGCTCTCTGACCTTGGGCAAAGTGGTATGACCTCCTCAGCTCCGGTTCTCCCATGTGTACGATGAGGGTGTAATACCTGGCTTGGGGCTTATTATCCACATTTGATGAGATGCTCATCAACATCTAGACAAACCCCTGGCCTACAGCATCAGACCACGGTGACAAGGCGGCGTTGGTTTCCCAGCATCTGAAATCAACTGTTCCCGTTTTCACCGCCCTATCTCACTCCCAAACCACCAGTCAGCTTCGCCAGGGGATGTGGCATCTCCAGGAGCAGTCTGGTGTCTACCAAGTACAGGGGTTGTCATCCGCCTCTGGGATGACACTGGTCCAGGCTTAGTGGCTTCCACAGCTTGGCCAGTAGAGAAACACGAGAGACCGCAATGAAGCCAGGTCAGGTGCAAAGTTTCAAGTGCCTCGTGGACTCAAAACCTAACTAAACTGAGCAGGAATGCCCACCCCCTTCTCTACCCTTAACGCCCCACCCAGGCCCCGGCAGCCCAAAGGATCACCAAGACAGTTGTTCCAAGAAGCACGCCAGGGACTGGACTTGCATGAGAATGGAACATAATTGCAGCTTGTAAAGGAAACAGCCTAAGAAAAAACATCCCCAGGAAACAGGGAGATCTTCCTGCAGGGACGTTATCCTGGTTGTCATAGCAAGGGGCCAGACAGCTTGCCCACGGCATTCTCGATGGAGGGCAGTGACTCACCCACCTACGCCCTTGCCAGTGGCTCCCAGAACTGCCTGTCCAGCCCTGTCTTCCCTCCCAGGTCCTAGGCTACTGCCGCTAAATGAGCATCTCACCCACACTCAGAACACCCCTGAAGTACGAGATGACCTCTGTGCAGGAAGGTTCTCTCTCCTCTCTGTGCAGGAAAGTTATCTCTCCTCTCCGTACTTGTCGCCGGTCCATCACTCATGTCAATTCTCTGACAGCAAGAGGAAGCAGACGTGGAAGGCTGAGCACAGACGCGCTGCTCACCCTCCTGTGCCCAGTGCCCAGCACTGAGCTGCTGCTCACAGCGGGTACCGGCAACGGCAGGTGAGGAAGTGAAGGAGTGAGTGAATCTGGGAATGAACGAACTCTGCAAGAAGCGCCGAGGAAGGCGCATCTTCTCGCACAACTGTGCAAGGCAGGTGTGTTTAGCACCACGTTATCAACGAAGGGAAGCGACCTCACAGGGGTTAAGTATGTTGCCCACACTCACATAGCTAATAAATGAAGAAATCATTCCTGCAATGTGGTCTGACTCTAAAGTCAAATCTTCCAAAATTGAATCCATTCTCATGACCCTGATGATGACGAATCATATTTACACAACCTCGGACACATCAGACTCTGTCCTCCCACCACTAGGGAGCGATGGGAAAACTGACCCCGAAGAGCGACTCATCACGCAGGCAAGACTGCACCGCCAGTGGGAGGTGGGCAGGAACTTGAACTTTCCTTTTTCAATCACAGATATTCAGAGGTACCCGCCATAAGCCAGGCCCTGTGTTAGGGTTGGGGGTACAAGAAACCAGCACAGACACGGCCCGTGGATTTTCTCTCCAGAGGGGCGTCTGCTTCAGAAATAGTCTACTCCCGTGACAACATCTGCTGCCCATAACATCTCCTCAAGAAAGCAGCAGCGCTCTGGAAGTTCTGTTGTGAAGTGGAAAAGGATCTGGCAGCAGAGGCTGTCAACAGAAAGATGGGAGTGGTTTGCGTTTCAGGAGCGTGGGTTCGTTTTCCACATGGCTGCCCAGAAGTCCTGTCTTTTGTCGAAGCTGGCTCTGCTCTCCCTAAGGACAGTGTGCGAAAGGATGGGGAGTCTTGCCGGTCACAATCAAATTGGTTGGGCAACCAAACAAAACACAAGTATCAAGTTCCCTGCTGAGTCAACGGAGAGCCCGGGAAAGGGAGCCTCAGGGTTTGCAGTTGCTAATCTGGCCCAGGCCCGCTAGAATTCCAAAGTGGAGTGAGGGGACGACAGAAGTGAACCTGGTTCGGCCACCTGTGATGACCATGCTCAGGAGTCTGTTCCTCCAGAAGGAAGTGCGGGTGAGAGACAGGGAAGAGATGGAACTCAGGCTCGCCCCTTTGCGAGACTTCTGGAAATTCAGCACCTTCAAGCACAAGTAATATTTTCCTCCACCAAGCCATGGGGTCAACAGAAATACTAAGTTAACAATGTGATATAAAATAAAGCTGAGAGACTATAGGCAAAGCAGTAAATTTTTTTTCTTAACAGGGATCAAAGGTCAGTGGACGGGCTACTAATTGTTCACTCATCAGTTCTCAGTGTCAAGCACCAATTAACGTTCCCACAGAAGGACCTTGGAGTCTCCGTGTCAAGACCCACACATATCCAGGCGACCACAGCTCCCTTTGCTCCTGGGTCTCCAAAGAGGATACTCTCCTGCAGATGGAGCTTATTTTTGCTCAGAGGAACTCTTCATAATCAAGTCTACTTTATACTCTGACAGTCACCTAGCAAAACGTCTCCACACACAAGGGCGTCTTGCCAAAATGGCACCATGAGGTGCAACTCTGGAAGCGTTACTGGGCTTTAAAAATCAAGTTCACCCCTTGTACGTCTTCTGTGGGCGTGGCTGAGGGGAGACCACACAGCCCGCCAGCTCTGTGACTTCACAGTCCCATTAATGAATGGCATCTGTGTGGATCTCAGGGGCCCCAAACCCAGGCAGGTCTGAAAGCTCTCACTCCAGCACCACCCCCGGCTAGAATGTCAAAGCCATTTATACAGAGAACGGTGACCCAGAAAGCAACCACTGAAAGTAAAATGCCAGGCAGTGCACGAAAGTTTCAAATTCCCCCCAAAACAGAACTTTGGGGTTTCTCATCCCCGCCACCCCACTCACCACTTTCCAAATCAATACATGAAGACATCAAGGAAGTTTCCAGGGCTTACCTGGGTCGGGTTGTAGAGCTCCTGCAGGGGGCTTCGAGACCCCTTCCGGCAACAGATGTCCTCGCCGAAGGGGTTCCTCCGCATGACTGAGGAAAGAAAGTGAAGGCTCGTCAGGAATGAGCAACAGTGGGTGTTGTCTGACAAGGAAAAGACACAGAGGGGGGGAGAAGTAACAGGTGGGAAGGAAAGACAGACACCTGCGCGCAAAGCCAGACCTCATCTAAAGGCATCGGGACCATTCTGCCTTCCCCATCACTCAAGCATCTCCACACTCGGAGGGACAGAAACAAGGCTAAAAAGTCTTCCCAGCCAATTTTCAGAAAAAAAGACAAGGCATCAAAGACATTGAAAGGAAGCCCCTCATAAGACACTGTAAAGGCTGTTCCAAGACAGTGAGCTGTACTGACACCAGACTTGGTGGTATTTCTACAATTCTACGGGCCTCTCCCTCAACAGTCAGTTCTGACCTCTTATTCCTTGTCCCCAAGGCATCTGGTTCCGAGAACGGTGCAGGCCTCCCGCCCAGGCAGGCTCTTCCCACTGGGTAACTCCAGGGCCCGGCCTCCCCAAGACCTCTTGTAAATTAGGTTATTTTTAATGAGAACATCAGCCCCAGGCATAAAGGATAAGAGCGTATGGTTCTAGACAGACAGAGGTGGCACCTACAATTAATAAAAGAGGGGAATGAAGTGAACCTCCCAAAGACCCAACAAGGCTAGGGACACTAAGAACTATTTTTAAATGGAAAAGCATCCTTTCTTTCCTTCCTCCTTCCCAGTCTCAGACACCCTGGCTTTGCGTACACAGTCACCCGCTTGATAGTCACTTGTTGGAGGGAGGGAGGAGGCAGGGATAAATGAATGAACGAACGAATGCTCTCTTCCCACACAGGAGGCCATTTTCCTGGGCAATGACTCAATAGGGACATGGTGCACAAGAAAAACAGATCAATTCACAAGTCTGAACATTTCGCCCCGTACAGCGCGGCAGGGGAGTGGACCGCAGGACACTCTCTGGGGCAGACAGACAGCCTGGGCGTGGATTCTGGCTCCACCACTTGCCATCTGTGAGACCTCAGGCAAGATGCCTAACCCTTCTATATCTGCTTCTTCATCTGTAAAACAGGGATGAGAAAAGGACCTGGTTCCCTGGGTTGGTTGTAAAGATTAAATGAGTTGCTACTACATGCAGAATGCTTAAATGGGTTGGCAGCAAAAAAAAAAAAAAAAGGTGTTTGTTATAAATTTCTGAAGCTACTGAAGATACACACTAGGTTTGTATGCACATAATTCATGACAAAAGTCACTCCCCTGCTCTCGGCAGGGGAGGTAGGAACCTCTCTATTCCTGCGCCATCAAGAGAACCCATGAGAAGGTGCCTGACCTCAGTCCAGGCTCGGGATTCTCCGACCGCAAAGCCACGCAGCACAACCTAAGGTCCAAAGGTCAGGACAAGCCATCTCCGCAGGTAGCCAGTTACTTCCGGGAGGTGTCCGGGTGAACCCACTCCTCCTCATGCAGTTCCCCTTAGACTGGTCACTTTGAGCCACATGGAAACCCTGACAGTAAAGTCATCCATTCCAGGACGCCTGAAGCTGTGTCCTCTTTCCCCTCCTTCGCCACCGAGAGCAGGGTCGGCAAACTTCTTCTACAAAGGGTCAGAGGGTGTTTTGGCTTTGTGCCATGTGGTCTCTGTCATCACCGCTGAACGTGGCCACACAGACAAGACAGAAATGGATGGGTGCGGCTGCGAGCCAACCCTTCACTGATGGACACAGAACCTGAATTCTGTACAATTTTCACATGTCGGGAAATAATATTTTTCATCGATTTTTTTTGACCATTCACAGGAACAGGGGATGGGCCAGGTATGGCCCTCAGGCTGCGGTTTGCTGGCCCCTGCCCTAGAGGGTGGCCCCAAGTATTCTGGGGTCAGCGGTCTGAGCCCCAGCATACCGCCCAACCCTCTCTGGGCAACTGTCCACATAAAAGCCATTCGAATTTGATTAGGCTGATCGCTGACCGGGGAAACACTGGCCCTTTGTTCCTCCACGGTCGCCTCGGGAAGAGGGGAAAAATCCACGTTGTGTTTTTCTTTAATTTATTACTTCATTTTTCATTTCCACCAAAAACGAGGTAAACTGTTAAATGCATGCAAGTTGCCCGTGGTGCACAATGGCACGGCGACACTTTGGAGGAGGAAAAACAGCCATAAAACTTGTAAAATTATGCCCACGCCATGCAAGATTAACCTCTCCCCGCGGCGGCAGATGGGCTCCCGGAGACCTGCGGCTGCAGGACCGCCGCGGAGAGAACCCCACTGCACAGCCCATTAAAAATCGGCTTTTATGGGGGGCAGTATTATTTAATTGGTTTATTTTTCTAATACAAGGCCTTTAAAATGCTTTGACCGTGTGGGGCCTGCAGTCCAGGTCCTTTCCCAGGGCCGTCTGCTCCTGCGGCTCCAGCAGCCCTGCCCGTGACTTCACCGGGCGCCATGCGAACCGACGTTGACACCCCAGGCCACGAAAGCCAAAGGGGCCTGGTGTGCTTTTTATGGGAATGATAACAATCCCACCATTTATGAAGCGCTCACTGTGTGCCAGGCACTTGGCGAAGCGTAACCCTTCGCACGGTGAAGGAAGTGCCTGCATTTTATAGGTCACCTCTCTGAGCCCTGCCCAGCCCTCCAGTCCCCTAACTTCTGGAACTTGAGGAAGTCAAGGCCACATGGGTGGAACGAGGCCAAGCTGAGACTCAAACCTGACTACTGGACTCTTCATATCCAATACAGGCCTGGGAGACAAAGGGTGAGCAATCATTCACTTAGGTATGAGTACACTGATACTGTGGGTGTCTCAGGAAAAGTGGCATCAGAGGACATTGAGCAACCAATACACATAGATGGTGGCACTCAACGTTTAAAGAGCACTCGGGGTGCAGCAAGTAGGTCACACATTTAATAGGCACAACAGTCCTATGTGGGGGTGGGGGCGGGTACCACTGCTGTCCCCACTTCACAGATGGGAATACTGAGGCACTTAAGGACCGAGCCTAGGTCCCAAGACTAGTGAGAGGTGAAGGCAGGATGCTGACACAGGCAGTCCACACTCCCAGGTGCCATGCTGGGCCAATGTCAAATCCCCAATCCACCACCCATCTCACTAGTGGCCCAACACCTGGTTGCCCGGCCAGCGCTAGGACAGGTCATTTAAAATGTAATTTGGTGTTTTAGGGTTCATCAAAAGAATGTGCATGATGGCAGAACCCTTAGCTAACAGTTATTACGCTCATGCACCTACTTCTTTGACAAGCTCTTATCAAGCATCTACTGTACGCCAGACACAAGGTGTGGGGGATACAGATCCTTTCCATCTTATTCATCAGGTTAGAACGCAGTGGGGCACACAGTAGGTGGTACTCAGGGGTTTAGGAATGACCTAGGATTCAAGGCTTCCTTTCCGAGCATCCGAGCATCCGAGCATCCGACAGCTTGTTTCCTGCTACCTCTGGAGGAAAGTGCCCGGAGCGTTAGACTGCTGGGGGTTTTTTCTTTGAAAATGAAAGGTCTAATGATCAAAGGCCCTAAGACAGGAACCCTGAGGACATTTAACGGAGGCCTTCTGTGGTCCACTCACTGCTCTGAGTTTTAATTAGCAACGACACTTGTTTTCTTCTTTCTAAACTCAAATCAATGAAATTCAAGACCATTTTTGGAAGAATCTAATTGGCTCAATTTACAGTATGATTTCCTAGGACCAGAAATAGTTCTGTAGATTGCAAACACAGAAATGAAGCTAAAATTAAAATTCGGCCCCTGGTGTTTGCTTCACTCTGGTGACTAGCACGTTGGTTTTGAGCGGAAGCCTCACTGCCAGTGAGCTGAGAGCTGTGATGGCAAGTCGGCTGGAGACTTGGGGGGCGGAGCCTGCTCAGTCACCCGCGTGGGACCCTGCCAGTCCTGCCGGGGAGGGGCGGAGCTGGCTGCTGGATTGTCGATTTGGGACTAAAGTCATGAAGCTGAAATGTTCTGGGGCCCTGTGTGAGAACTTGTCTTTGACGCATTTCATAAAGCCAAAGACATTTGGGATTCTGGGGGCTGGAACTCAGGTTTTATCAAATACAGCAACAGTTAATAATAATAATCATTTACTGAGAATTTACTCTATGTCTGAGATGCCCAACATAATGCTAACCATTTTTTTCACATTTTGCATTTAATTCTCATAAAAATTCTGTTATAGTCAATAAAAAATATCTTTTATCCCATTTTATTTATTTTTATGTTTCATTCCTTATTTCCCTCCTGCCCTCCCTCTCGACCCTTGGTGATGGCTACACCCACCTGAGCACAGTCAGGGAGACAGAAGCCCAGAGAGGTTAAGTACCTAATTTGCCCCAAACCACACGGCCAGCAAATGGCAGAACAAGAAGCAAATTGAAACCCAGGCCTCTCTGTTTCCAGAGGGAACGATCTTAGAAGATGCTTCCGCACAGCACTCCCACCGCACACACCAATGTCCTCACTCCTCTCAACACTCCGTGTGAAGCACTCTGTCCTGACGGCCCCAGTCCAAATGGGTCTCTGCCCCTTTCACTGGCAAAACAGCTCTAACGCCCGGCCGACTTCAGACACTTTCCAAATCTCCTGATTTGCTAACAGCCCAGGCACGACTGCTGCTCTGAGAGTCCGGAGCAGCAGCGCAATTCTGGAGACGCCTCCTCCCAGTGCACCGACTCATGCTGTTCAGCACCATCCAGTCCGTCTGTCAAGAGGACGTTGGGACCGGACTGCGTCTGAGTCAACCTCATCAGGTGAGAAGAAGGGCGAGCAACACCCAGCTTCCTCCAAGGGAGCCCATCCCGAGAGAACAGGCCATTCTGCTCTGTAACTGTGGGATCCCTGAAAGGCACTATGTCATAGCTCTCCCCCGTCCCCTTCAGAGGACACCCTACTGAAACCAGAGGGACCCACTGTCCCAGTTTGCCTGGGACTGAGACATGCCCAGGACCTAGGACTTTCAGTGCCGAAACCAGGAAAATCCCAGGCAACCCCGGGACAGTGGGTCACCTGGCAGTGCCCTGGG